ACAATACCCATATTACTTAAATGTCATTTGGCCCGTCTCTTATCACAAGCTACTGAAACTATTGATTCAGCTATCCTTGACTAATGCAGGCCATAGAAGTGCCGTTTATCGGCCGAATTTTCAGCCGATAAACGAAAAATCGGTCGGCCCTGTTGCCGATGCTGCCACCAACGGCTGTTTTTTCGTGGATTTTCCAGCATGACCACTGAAAATAAATGTAAAGATCCGCGAAAACCGGCCGACGGGCTGGCCCCACTAACGGCGTGAATTTCGGCCAAATTTTTGTCCGCACAACAACAACCCGTCTATGGCCTTCATACTGGATATCTGCATATTATTTTTTGGCTTCATCTATGCCAGGGGTCTCCAAACTTTCTAAACATAGAGCCAGTTTACTGCCCTCCCAAACTTTAGGGGGCCAGAATGTGGCCAGTAGGAGTGGAAAATATCCTGGTGTCAGTGGGAGTAAATTGCGTCCTCTCTTTGGTAGTAGGGGGAGGAATAGTGTCCCATGGTTGGCGTCAGTGTGAGGAATAGTGCCCCATCTGTGTCAATGGGAGGAATAGTGCCCCATCTTTAGTATTGGGGAAATAATGACAACTCATTTGTGTCAGTAAGAAGAATAGTGCCTCATTGTGCATGTCTCACAGTTGCTGACAGTAGGGGGAACAATGCCCCCCCCCCCCCGGCTGGATAAAAGCAAGCAAATGGCTGCATCCGGCCCCTGGGTCGCAGTTTGGAGACCACTGATCTATGGTCGTATGCAAGGATCGTGACTGAATACAACAACTGCAGCATTTTTTATTATAGAAAGAGGTAAAAGAAAATAATTCAAGACATGCAGGGGAATTTATAAAAACTTGAGCAGACAGAATTTGGAGCAGTTATGCATCCAGTTGGCTTCTAAGTTTCATTTCAAAGCTTCCGGGAACAAGCTGAAGTTGGAAGCTGACTAGTTGCCATGCACAACTGCTCTAGATTCCATTTGCTCCAGTTTTGATACATTCCTCCCAGAGAATGGCATCAAATTGTAAAAGCAGAATAGTACAGTGCCTTGGAAAAGTATTCATACCCCTTGAAATTCTCCACAAATTTTGTCATGTTACAACCCAAAACTTAAATGTATTTTATTGGGATTTTATGTGATAGCCCAACACAAAATGGCACATAATTGTGAAGTGGAAGGAAAATGATAAATGGTTTTCAGAATGTTTTAAAAGATCTGAAAAGTGTGGTGTGCGTTTGTATTCGGCCCCCCGAGTCAATACTTTGGAGGTCTACCTTTCACTACAATTACAGCTGCTTGTCTTTTTTGGGGATGTCTCTACCAGCTTTGTATATCTAGAGAGTGACATTTTTGCCCAGTCTTCTTTGCAAAATAGCTCAAGCTCTGTCAGATTGGATGGAGAGTGTCTGTGAACAGCAATTTTCAAGTCTTTAAAAGTAAAATTAAATAAAATAGCGTTGTGCTACTTACTCATAAAATATAAAAATAAATATATAAACAGTGCCCAAATGTAAATAAAAGTCTTTCAGTGCTCAATCAGCCCAAAAGGCAATAAACTATTGTGCTTCCACAGATAGTGCTTAGTGCTTCACAGCAAAATAAATTATTGTGCTTCCACTGATAATGCTCCACCGCAAAATTAATTCAGTACCCCTCCACCTGAAATAGGATGGCCACTCACTTCAAATAATGGACCTGTATATCAACATAGGTCTAACAAGCATGATCCTTCCATAAATGGATTCCAGATGGCAGCAAAGAGCTTGTATTTTACATCAACAGGGATGGTAATAAACGATCATCCACAGGAACTTCTTCACAACTCAGCCTGCAATGGAATAGTATTGGGATCCTTCAGGATCTTCTTGTCCAACCACTTCTTCTTTTTCAAGTCTTGCCACAGATTCTCAATTGGATTTAGGTTCTGGACTTTGACTGGGCCATTGTAACACATGAATATGCTTTGATCTAAATTCCATTGTAGCTCTGGCTCTTGTTTAGGGTCGTTGTCCTGCTGGAAGCCCTGCCCTAGTCTCAAGTCTTTTGCAGACTCTAACAGGTTTTCTTCTAAGATTGCCCTGTATTTGGCTCCATCCATCTTCTCATCAACTCTGACCAGCTTTCCTGTCCCTGCTGAAGAAAAGAATCCCCACAACATAATGCTGCCACCACCTTGTTTCACGGTGGGGATGGTCTGTTCAGAGTGATGTGTAGTGTTAGTTTTCCGCCATACATTGCATTTTGCTTTTAGGCCAAAAAGTTTAATTTTGGTCTCTTCTGACCAGAGCACCTTCTTCCACGTTTGCTGTGTCCCCAATGTGGCTTCTCACAAACTGCAAACAGGACTTCTTATAACTTTCTTTCAACAATGGCTTTCTTCTTGCCACTCTTCCCTAAAGGCCAGATTTGTGAAGTGCATGACTAATAGTTGTCCTGTGGACAGATTCTCCTACCTGAGCTGTGGATCTGCAGCTCCTCTAGAGTTACCATGGGCCTCTTGGTTGCTTATTTGATTAATGCTCTCCTTGCCCACCTGTGTCAGTTTAGGTGGACGGTCATGTCTTGGTAGGTTTGCAGTTGTGCCATATTCTTTCCATGTTTGGATGATGGATTAAACGTGAGATGTTGAAAGCATGGGATTTTTTTTTTACATAACGCTGCTTTAAACTTCTCCACAACTTTATTGCTGACCTGTTTGGTGTGTTCTTTGGCCTTTTTGATGCTGTTTGTTCACTAATGTTCTCTAACAAACCTCTGAGGGCTTCACAGAACAGCTGTATTTATACGGAGATTAAATTACACACAGGTAGACTCTATTTTGTAATTACCATATTTTTCGCTCCATAATACGCACCTGACCATAAGACGCACCTAGGTTTTAGAGGAGAAAAACAAGAAAAAAAAATATTCTGAACCAATGGACTGCAGACATAGTACAGGGGATGACCAGAGACTGCGGACACAGTACAGGGGATGACCAGAGACTGCGGACACAGTACAGGAGATGACCAGAGACTGCGGACACAGTACAGGAGATGACCAGAGACTGCGGACACAGTACAGGAGATGACCAGAGACTGCAGACATACTACAGGAGATGACCAGAGACTGCGGACATACTACAGGAGATGACCAGAGACTGCGGACACGGTACAGGAGATGACCAGAGACTGCGGACACGGTACAGGAGATGACCAGAGACTGCGGACACGGTACAGGAGATGACCAGAGACTGCGGACACGGTACAGGAGATGACCAGAGACTGCAAACACGGTACAGGAGATGACCAGAGACTGCGGACACGGTACAGGAGATGACCAGAGACTGCGGACACGGTACAGGAGATGACCAGAGACTGCGGACACGGTACAGGAGATGACCAGAGACTGCGGACACGGTACAGGAGATGACCAGAAACTGCGGACACGGTACAGGAGATGACCAGAGACTGCGGACACGGTACAGGAGATGACCAGAGACTGCGGACATAGTACAGGGAAAATACCAGGGACACATTACAGATGACCAGAGACTGCAGACAGTGCAGGGGATGACAATAGACTGCGGAGAGTGTAGGGAATGACCAGAGACTGCTGACCTTTGGGGAGGGAGGGGGAGCGGGTACCTGAATTTGACAGGTACCCGCTCCCACTTCCGCGGTGTTGTCCTTCCCTCTTCTTCCTGCGCCGGCTTCTGTGACAGCCGGGTGCCCACTGCGCATGCGTGAGAAGCACTGCGCTTTGTGAGAGGCCCGGCGCCTTCTGGGACCTGTGTTGTGTCCCAGAAGACACCGCATCATTCACAAAGCGCAGCGCATGCGCAGTGGGCACCCGGCTGTCACAGAAGCCAGAGCGGGAAGACTGTGCAGCGCTGGAGCGAGGAACAGGTAAGGCCCTGCAGGAGAGAACAGCTGAGCGGCCGGCCCGGTATTCTGACATGGTGGCAGCAAAAATACTGGACCGGCCGCTTTATATTCGCTCCATAAGACGCACTGACATTTTCCCCCCTTTTTTGGGGGGAAAAAAGTGCGTCTTATGGAGCAAAAAATACGGTAGGTGACTTCTAAAGGCAATTGGTTTCACTAGATGTTAGGGGTATCAGAATAAAGGGGGGGCTAAAAACAAATGCACGCCACACTTTTCAGACATTTATTTGTAAAAAAAAAATGTTAAAACCATTTATCATTTCCCTTCCATTTCACAATTATGTGCCACTTTGTGTTGGTCTATCACATAAAATCCCAATAAAATAAATGTACATTTTTAGTTGTAACATGACAAAATGTATATGACTCATTTCACTTTATTTCCATTCCCTTATTCATTTATTACAGGTATTGATATAGGGGAGTCAGTTTATGCAGTGCTTTACATACTAATCATTCACATTAGTCCCTGCCTCCAAGGAGCTTACAATGTCAAGTCCCTGTGCACTATTCTTAGTCTCTACAGCTTCTTTTGGATGGTTAAACTCACTCTTTGTCATTCCTGAAGGTCCTTGGAATGGATACAAGGATGGAGAGATGAGCAGGTGATGTCAGTCTCTACCTCCGCAAATCAGAGGAAGCCTTGTATTAACCACTTGCCCTCCAGACGATTTACCCCCCTTCCTGACCAGGCCATTTTTTGTGATACGGCACTGTTTCTTTAACTGACAATTGCACGGTCATGCAACACTGTACAAATAAAAATTTTGTTCTTTTTTTCCCACAGATGGATCTTTCTTTTGGTGGTATTTGATCGCCTGTGTTTTTTTTTTTTTTTTTTTTTGTGCTATAAACAAAAAAAGACAATTTAAAAAAAAAACAGGTTTGCTATTAACCGCCTCCCACCCGCCATATAAGGTAATGACGGGCGCAAGGCGGTTCTCTCGTTCTGGGAGGACGTCATATGACGTCTTCCCATTCTAACCGCGCATGCATGGCTCCGGGAGCACGCAACTCGGCGATCAGTGGTGCGCTGTGTCCCTCGGACACAGCAGGTCAACGGTAAGAGCCGAAGATGTCGGCTCGGTCATGTGATCAGCTGTGTCCAATCACAGCTGATCGCATGTAAATAGGGAAATGCCGGTTATCGGCATTTCTCCTCACGGGCTGTCACGCTGACAGCTCAAAAGGAGAGGAGAGCCGGTAATAATCGGCATCCCTCAGAGGGGACATGTACACTGATCATCAGGCCACTGATGATCAGTGTGCCCTGATGATCAGTGTAGCCCCAGCAGTGCCACCTTTCAGTGCCCATCAATGCTACATATCAGTGCCACAGGTGACACTGAGCTGCCTTTCAGTGCCACCTATCAATGCCAGTCAGTGCTGCCTATCAGTGCCGCCTAACAGTGCCAGTCAGTACCACAAAACAGTGCCAGTCAGTGCCGCCTATCAGCGCCGTATATGAGTGATGCCTGTCAATGCCCATCAGTGCCACCTACCAGTGCCTGCATCAGTGCCACCTATCAGTGTCCATCAGTGCAGCTTATCAGTGCCCATCACTGCAGCCTCATTAGCGCACATCAGTGAAGGAGAAAAATCACTTATTTACAAAATTTTATAATAAAAACTAAGAAAAAAAGTTTTTTTTTTTCAAAATTTTCAGTGGTTTTTGGTTTAAGAAAAAAATTAAAAACCCAGAGGTGATAACCACCAAAAGAAAGCTCTATCTGTCTCAAAAAAAGATAAAAATTTCATATGGGTACAGTGTTGCATGACCGCGCAATTGTCATTCAAAGTGTGACAGCGCTGAAAGCTGAAAATCGGCCTGGGCAAGAAGGGGGTGTAAGTGCCCTGTAGGCTAGTGGTTAAACATGTCCAGTGAAAAAAAAATTTAAAAATCAAATTTTGTCATAGATTTAGGCCAAAATGTATTCTTCTACATGTCTTTGCTATAAAAAAAACCCAATACGTGTAAATTAATTGGTTTATGTTAAAGTTATAGCGTCTACAAATGGCGGTACATATACTGGAATTTTTTTTGTATAATAATGCCAGGGATCAGCGACTTATAGTGGGACTGCAGGACTGCGGCAGCATTCTGACACTGGGGGGAACTGACTGTCACTGACATCCTCAGTGACACTAATACAGTGATTAGTGCTAATAGCCTGGACACGGGGCAGGAAGGGGTTAACATCTGGGGCAATCAAATGGTTAACTGTGTGCTGTGTGTGTTTTTACTGTACAGTATGTGCTGTGTTTTACTGTGTAAGCACGCTGCTTTGTATTGCTTTGCTATGCAGAGCAATACAAAGCAGTGTGCTGGCACTAACAGGGGAGACATCTGTATTATTTACATACAGACCTCTCCCCCATCAGGGATACTTGGCGATCGCTGAGTGCCAGCGGGGAATCACCGGCAGGGACCTGGTGATCGACAGCTGAAGCCGCCAATGGCGGCGCGGGCAGGGTGTGCCCCCTACGCAGAAATACAAAATCACACATATATATATATATATATATATATATATATATATGTGTGTGATATTGTACAGCCCTGTAGCAGCAGTTTTGCTATAGGGCAGTGTGGAAGCTGTTAATATATAAAATACAAACTATCCTGTGAATGGAAGAGCAGGGCTTAGCCAGACTTCATTTTGTTCCGGAAGCAGGATGGGAAATGCCTGACCCACTGTTGGAGCACAGCATTGTATACTGTGTGTAGCTGATGCTACATACAGTTTATATGCACTCCCAGCTGCTGCATATGTTAGTGAAAGAAATAAAATAGAGGGGTGGGCAGCTAGATAGCATATGCATTTAATATTGAAAAATGTATAGTAATGCACATAGGAGCTAAAAATATGCATGCAAGTTATTTGCTAGGGAGAGAACTTCTGGGGAAACAAGGGTGGAAAAGGATTTGGGGGTCCTAGTAGATGGCAGACTCAACAATAGCATGCATTTCCAAGGTGCGGTAAGGAAGGCCAGCAGAGTATTAACATGTATTAAAAAAAAAGTATTTACTCAAGAGACAAAACTATAATTCTACCATTTAAAAAAAATGCTGGCTCTGCCACATCATGAGTATGCCATCCAGTTTTGGTCACCAATCCTGAGAAATAATGTTCTTGACCTGGAAAGAGTCCAGAAAAGGGCAACCAAACTAGTAAAGGGAATGGAGGACCTCAGTTAGGAGGAGTGACTACAATCAAGAAACGTATTCTCCCTTGGAGAAGAGACGCATAAGAGGGGATATGATTGCAATATACAAATCTTTATATGGGAGCAAACTATTTAACCTAGGGTCTCTAAAGAAGACATGCAACCACACAATGAAGTTGGACGAGATTCCACAATTGGTGGTGTAGGTCGTTTATCTACAGTCAGGTCCATAAATATTGGGACATCAACACAATTCTAACATTTTTGGCTCTATACACCACCACAATGGATTTGAAACGAAACGAACAAGATGTGCTTTAACTGCAGACTGTCAGCTTTAATTTGAGGGTATTTACATCCAAATCAGGTGAACGGTGTAGGAATTACAACAGTTTGCATATGTGCCTCCCACTTGTTAAAGGACCAAAAGTAATGGGACAGAATAATAATCATAAATCAAACCTTCACTTTTTAATACTTGGTTGCAAATCCTTTGCAGTCAATTACAGCCTGAAGTCTGGAACGCATAGACATCACCAGACGCTGGGTTTCATTCCTGGTGATGCTCTGCCAGGCCTCTACTGCAACTGTCTTCAGTTCCTGCTTGTTCTTGGGGCATTTTCCCTTCAGTCTTGTCTTCAGCAAGTGAAATGCATGCTCAATCGGATTCAGGTCCGGTGATTGACTTGGCCATTGCATAACATTCCACTTCTTTCCCTTAAAAAACTCTTTGGTTGCTTTTGCAGTATGCTTTGGGTCATTGTCCATCTGCACTGTGAAGCGGTGTTCAATGAGTTCTGAAGCATTTGGCTGAATATGAGCAGATAATATTGCCCGAAACACTTCAGAATTCATCCTGCTGCTTTTGTCGGCAGTCACATCAATAAATACAAGAGAACCAGTTCCATTGGCAGCCATACATGCCCACGCCATGACACTACTACCACCATGCTTCACTGATGAGGTGGTATGCTTAGGATCATGAGCAGTTCCTTTCCTTCTCCATACTCTTCTCTTCCCATCACTCTGGTACAAGTTGATCTTGGTCTCATCTGTCCATAGGATGTTGTTCCAGAACTGCGAAGGCTTTTTCAGATGTCGTTTGGCAAACTCTAATCTGGCCTTCCTGTTTTTGAGGCTCACCAATGGTTTACATCTTGTGGTGAACCCTCTGTATTCACTCTGGTGAAGTCTTACCAAAAGTGCCTGCCAATTACTGCCTTATTTCTTCTCTGTAAGCTCAGATTTTGCCAGTTCCTTCAACTGACAGGCAGCTGGGAGGGTTTGCTTTTCCTCTAGTCATATCTGTTCTGTACCCACATTGCAAGGGTTAATTGCTCGTTAATAATCTGGGGTCATAGAAAAGCAAACCTACTTCTTTTCTATGCCCCCAGAACTTGAAAAGCTTTTTATGTCTTTAGTTGTGAGAAACAGGTAGGTAGAATGAAAATACAGGACCAAGACGGGGGCGCGGTGTAGAAAGTGTAGGGAGAAAAAGCGTGGAAGGGGAGAAAGAGAAGGAGGGGGAGCAAAGAAAAAAAAAACAGAGGTGGGAGGGGGGGTCGCTAGAAGGAGGGTAACAGGACAGTGGTTCACTGAGTGTCAGATCTGAGAATAGTCTTGCCCTCGTCCAAGTATATAAACATGTTCCAGTGGATCCAGGTTTTGGAGTAGGTCCCATGTTTATTTTGAGCTGAGAGGACAAGTCCTCCTTCATATTCAGCTCTTCCACTGTCATAAGCCATAAAGAGATAGGAGGAGAACGTGGATCTGTCCATCTCAAAGCGATAATCGACTTGTCAGCGTTAAAAAAAAGTTTTAAGTTTTCTCAGGAATATTAGAAACATGTAAATGGAAAAAAACTGGGTCCTCTGCAAGTTATTCTGCCGACCTCCTTCCAGAAGTGTTCCCGAATGAGACAGAACCCAAAAAATATGTAGTAGAGTTCCTTGCTCCTCCGTGCATCTTCAGCAGCAGTCTGAAACAAAGGAAAGGCACTGTCGGAACTTTCACTTTTAAGTGAGGTTACACTTTAATCCTTGCAGCGCGGCTCACACTGCAAGTGAGAATTTTCTTATTTCCTTTAAAGGAAATGATAACCGTAAATTGAAATAATGGTCTGTGTAGCAATTGTACATGTTCAGGGGCGGACTGATCATTTGGAAACTCGGGCACTGCCAGAGGGCCCGGGGTCAGTAGGGGGCCCCATGAGATGCCCCTAGTACCTTTTTCATAGGCTCTTTTGAGTTTGGGCAAGGACACAGGGGCCCCATGATCCCCTATTGCCCGGGGGCCCCATGAGTTGTCAGTCCGCCCCTGTACGTTACATCATTTTGTTTGGATGTAAGTCAAGTTTTCTTTCTAACCTTTATGCAGACTTCTATTGCAGGCAATGAGATAAATCAGAGTAATTAAAAGAACAAGGTGAAGATGGAGAAATTTTTCCAGCGTGCTTAAGACTTTTGCAATTGGTGCAAGTAAGATCATCTTTAACAAACTTAGAGTTTACTGTAAATTATTTACAGGAATGCTTAGTATATACAAACATTAAATGATCTTGACATTTTTTATGATCTCCATTGGGCATTCACCCCTGGGTTTATCAGATGTTGGTATTGCACAATTGTAATCCTGCCGTGTGATAGATCCCAGTGCTCTGCTCCTTGTAGATATGTTTCAAGTTTTATAGATTTTACAACCTGCTTCCGAGATTACAAATGGGTGAAAAGTGTATGTATGTAAACCATAAAGCTAATATTCTATGTCTTGCTTCATGTATCACTGTGCCACTGTGCACGTTTCTGTAAATCAAATATTTCTATGAAATATTTCTGTTTTATTATCTGGAGATTTTGCCAGCATTATTCCTCTACAATGCATTTTCTGTTTCAGGCTATCAGTGCTAACATTGTTCTCTGCAGCTACCAGCAGCATTGTCAGCCTACCATTCAAGCTTTTTATAGTAGGACTACAGGGTTCAATGTCAGCTATTTCTTTCTGCATTGCCATTTCCAGTTTAATGGCAGCTCCAGTCATTGGTGTTTCACACTTACACATGGCTATGTCTCTGGCTGTATCATCCAAATGAGCTGTGCATGTCCATGTCCATGTCCATGCATGGTTCAAGTGTTAAAAGTTAGTCTAAGTCAGGGCTTAAAATTTCAAGTCCTTAGCTACTAGCAGGCCTTAAGAGTTACTCGCCACCAGTTGCCCCACCCAACCCCTACCCTTCCCCGCCCCTAATTTCGCACCTAAACATGCCCTCATAAATTATCTCATGAAATGACTCTGAAATGTTTTATGCGGAATAAATATTAACAACATATTTAATAATATTAATAAAGCAACGTA